CCCTGTAAGTAGAAAATCTCAGCCATACACTGAATTATTATTATTATTATTATTATTTTAAAAGGTGACAACAGGCTCACCAATCTGTCCCACCCCCCAGCTACCCCCTCCCATTGCCACATCAATCCAGCAGGACACACATTGCAAAAAACAAAGCAAAAACAAAAATACAAAAACAAACAAAGAGGAAAAAACATTTTTTCCTGAAAACTGAGGAGTAAAAAGAGGTTTTTAAAAATCAGTTTAAACCCTTCAGGTGTAAAAAAGTAGTGCTTTTGCTTTGAATCCAGAGGAACATCATGTGTTCTTACAGGACCAACATCAAGGTAAGCACAAATTATTTTACAGGTGTGGATTTAGTGCTGGTAGGAGGAGGCACACGCCAGCATAACATCATCCACAAAATTGCCAAGCTGCAGCTGAAAAGGCAACACATATAAACCCCTGCCTGGCAAGTAGAAATGAGAAACTAGAAACAGTTCCCTACAAAGAATGCTGACAAGTGATGCAGTGTGCAAGATGACAGCAACATCTTCATTAAAAAATAAACAAGTAAGCAGATGAAATGAGAGAACTGAGAAGAGGAGGAACAGAGAGGAAGGAATCTATGGTTGTGCTTGGCAATCCTAAGACATTTTGCCACCTTCGGCAGAGCAGCAAATGTGCCCACGTGGGTGTACACACACAGTCTCATGGTTAAGGTGTATAGTGTTCTAGAGCAGTCAATTTTGTTTCTCAAAACTGAGGCTGATGGTACCTCTCTCTTCCTGCCAGTAAATTGTTAGATGGGAAAAGGACCTTTTCAGTGGTGATGCTGAAGTTTTCAAAAAAGTTGAAAGAGCTTGTCAATTAACAAATGCCTGGAGAGGTCTTTTTGTGGCTATTTGGATTTGAAGCTCACTGTTGGATTTGCAGCTAGCTGTTCATTAGTGTGTGTGTATGTGTGTGTGTGCGTGTGTAGAGTTTTGTTTTTGGTCTTGACTTATATCATTTGAACATTTATTCTGGTGATTTTTGTGTGTGTGTGTAATGGGAGGGATTGTATATCACACCCAGATTTTTATCTGATGGATCCCAGCATCTCTATTCCTCCCCCTGCAAAAGGGTCTAAATTGGGTACCATGGCTATTTTGGGTAGGACCTGGCATAATTAACCCCCTCTCCACTTCTAATTTTAAGATAAAACAATCTGGCACAAAAATGATGAACAACCCAGCAAAACACACACACACCCCTTTCTCCTTGGCCCCATACTGTATGGCCTGTTGGGTTTTGAGATGAAATGAGAGATACACTGCTTTGCTCTTCCTTAACTTTAGTTCAGACTGAACTGTTAATTGCATTGTGAACCATCTCAAGCTCATGAAGAAGTGAGAGAGAGAGAAATTATCTTATTGGCACAAATCAGTGGAACCATTCTGGATTTTTTTTTTTAATGAAAAGCTATTTGCCTTAGACCAGGGATTGGAATCATGCGGCCCTCCAGATGGTGTTGGACTGCAACTCCCAACATTCCTTATCCTTGGCTAGGGCCGATGGGAATTACAATCCAACAATACAACCCTTTTGTCCCAACTGGCAGGGACTGTCTTGATTAATCCTCTGTCATCCCACTTTTCAGCTACTTTTAAAATGTCCTGACTTCTCTCTCACTCCTACTTTCCCCCTTTGACTTCAGCCTACACGAAGTGCTGCAAATTGAGCTCAAAGTGCAAAAGTAGTTTGTACTCAATTTACTCAGCGGGGGCAGAGGAAAGGAGGGGTGGAATCTTTTCCCTCCAAGTAGGCTCAGGCAAAAGCAAACTGGTGCAGCATCTCCTAACTTGCGTGTTCTTCTTCATTAATACCTTTTGCCATCTTGAGAACACACTGATGTTGCTTGGCTACATGTGTTCCAGTTTTCATCATTGGAATGTTGGAAGGTATTACAATGCCTGGAGGGCCACATGGTTCGCACCCCTGCTTTAGACAAATAGGAAATACTGCTTACAAGATAATCTGTTATTTAGTAGAAGATGCAGAGTAGTGAAGTGCTTTGAACGCTGGACTATGACTCTGAAGAGCAGTGTTTGATTTCCTGCTTGTCCATGAAACCCACTGGGTACCTTGGTCAAGTCACAAACTCTCAGCCTCAGGGGAAGGCAATGCAAACTTCCTCTGAACAAATCTTGCCAAGAAAACTGCATTATAGGTTTACCCTAGGATCACCATAAGTCCGAAAGGACTTGAAGCAGTTGCCTGGATCCCTGCTACTGGGCGATTCTAAAATGTTAACCACTATTTCTGAAAACTTGGCAATTGCCTTATTGACACAATAAGCCACCTTCCCTGCTAGGCAAAGGATCTTGACAAACAGGCCAGTCAGTGATGAAATCTTCAACTGCAGCAAAGCAGAGCGGGTGGCTCTCTGTTTCCTTGGAATATGTTGTCATTGTCCTCAGAGACTTTTGAGTTGGTTGACAGCCCCCCCACCCCGAAGCCATCTTATGTCACTTGTGCCACAGACTCCAAAAACGCCCTTGGCTGCTGCTTGCTTCAACAAATACAAGTTGGGAGCATACTGAGGATCAGATTTGGAAGGGATCAATCTCAACATCCTTTTCAACCAGCTGTTTGTGGTCGCACCCTGCTCTATCATTTATTTTAAAAAAAGAACTTGCAAAGCTGCAATTCCAGCTTTGCTTAGGCAGCAGGTTTTAGATCGTTAGCAATGAGAGGGCCCTGGAGATAGGCTGCCTTCATGCAGGACACTTTCAAATAAATGTACCTTTCTCCATACGTGTCAGATTAATGAACACCGTTGACTGGTTTCTCGCTGCTAAGCAAACGGGAATAACTGTTTGTCACAGGGAGATACAGGGCTGCTTAAAGGCAAATAGAAGTTTTAGAAATAAAAATACATAAACATGATTTGAAAGCAAAATGAAAATCCTTCCTTTGAATGTCATATCTATCCTAATAATAATAATAATAATAATAATAATAATAATAATAATTTATTTATTTATATCCTGCCCCTCTGCAGGGCAATCGGGGCGGCTTACAACATTACAATTTCCATACAGATATATTAAACAGAACATAAAATCCTGAATCCCACCCATCCTTTAAGAAGTAAGGGTTCTTCTTATTTTAGGCCGGATGGTGCTGTATATTTGTATCATCTGTCTGTCTGTCTATCAGCCTCTCTCTCTCTCTCATCCATCCATCCATCCATCCATCCATCTATCTATCTTTTCACCCACCCACATACACATGATCTTGACCTGTTGGGGAGAGAAGAGAAAGCATTTCGTGCCCGAAGAATGTAAAGTAAAATCAGTTATTTGCTGGCATAGGGGTGGAGAATCTATGGGCCTCCAGATACTGATGAACTACATTTCCCATTTTCTTTCACTACTGGACAGGCTGAGCTGCATGGAGTTGGACATTATCTGGAGGTTTTCAAAAAGTAGCTGTGTCTCTTGCAAAGCAAAAAGAAGGAAGGAAAGGGGGAAATAAATGTGGCGGCACTTTTAAAAGTGACTGGTTTTTATTTTTGTGTGAGTTTTCATGGATATAAACCCACTTCTTCAGATGTAGTACAGTGTGATAATAAACACTCAGGTACAAAGCATATTTACACAGTTGTGGGAGTGGGACAGAATGTAATAGGTTCTAGAAAGATGCAAATCATGACCATTGTCCTAAGGAGTTTATTACATGAGGCTAGTAAAGTTCAATTACAGTAGGATAATAACATCTTTGACAGGTATGTACCATACCACAACACGTCTTTCCAGTTGCTGCTTTGCATTTCAATCATTGACCATTGATCCTAAAGAGTAAAAATATACAACTGAGCACTAAAGTCAGAATTATCAAAGACATTGCATTCCCCATCACCATGTATGGATGTGAGAGCTGGACAGTTAAAAAAGAAGATAGGAGGAAAATCAATGCATTTGAGATAATGTGGTGCTGGAGAAGAGTGCTGAGGATCCCATGGACAGCCAAAAAGACAAACAAATGGGTCCTTGAACGGATGAAGCGTGAACTCTCCCTGGAAATAAAGATGACCAAATGGAGGCTGTTGTACTTCGGCCACATCAAGAGAAGGCATGACTCACTATAAAAGATGACAATGCTAGGGAAGTTAGAAGTTAGTATAAAAAGAGGAAGCTCACATGCCAGATGGATAGACTCAAGCAAGGAGGTCATGGGCCTGAACTTACAAGACCTAAACAGAGCAGTGGACAACAGAGGGGCTTGGAGATGTCTCATTCACAGGGTTGCAGTTAACAACAGCAACAATAACATTTGAAGAGACCCAGCGTGGTGTAGTGGTTTAAGCATTGGACTACAATCCTGGAGATCAAGTTTGATTCTTCGCTCAGCGATGGGAACCCATTGGGTGACCTTGGACAAGTCACCTGCTCTCCTCCTCATAAAACTACATGATAAATGAGATTAGTGCATTGGCTTTCATTCCCTTGCTAGGCATTGGATGAAAACTCACAGGGACGGATTGTATTGGCAGTACTCATCCTGTACCCGATCCGGGCTTCTCCTGGACCATTTAAAGAACAGAAAAATCCCATTTTGTGTGATACAATCCATCCCTGTGTGTTTACCATTTAAAGAACAGGAAAATCCCATTTTGTGTGATACAATCCATCCCTGTGTGTTTACATCCCATGCCTAGCAAGGGAATGAAAGCCAATGTGCTAATCTCCAAAGTCACCTGAGGTTTGTGATAAATTCAAAACGCCTTGAAGGCACACAACAACACAATAGCATTTGAAACTTTCCACTTAAAATGTCTCTAAAAGCATCCTTATTGAAGTCCCAGGAGGGAAAAACTACTAGACAAATTTGCTTTTAATGCACACACCTTTGCCTATTTCTGATTCATTGTGCAATTTCAAAAATAAGTTCGGTGCACAGAGAATTTTGTGCCTTTTTGATTGGCCTAATAAAGGCGCTACTAAAATATAGATGCTGTAACTTATTTTGAGAGAGCCAGTGTGGCAGAATGGTTTGAGCATTGGACTACAACTGTGGAGAACAGGGTTCAAATCCCCACTCAGGCAGAAAAAAACCCTTGGGTTATTTTGGACAAGTCACATTCTCTCAGCCTCAGAAGACAGCAATGGCAACCCCCCCTCTGAAGAAACATGCCAAGAAAACCCTGTGATAGGTTTGTGTTAGGGTCCCCATAAGTAAAAAAAGCAAAGCCTTTGATTGCATAGATCATGAAAGGCTATGGAATGCCCTTAAAGACATGGGAGTGCCAACACATCTGATAGTCCTGAATCTGTACTCAGGACAAGAGGATACTGTCAGAACAGAACACAGAGCAAAATCATGTTTCCCAGTTGGCAAAGGAGTCAGACAAGGCTGTATCCTATCACCCTACCTGTTCAACCTATACGCAGAATGTATTATAAGAAAAGCAGGCTTGGAGACTGAAGAAGGAGTGAAAATAGTAGGAAGGAATATAAACAATCTAAGATATGCAGATGACACCATAATATTAGCAGAAAACCTCGCAGAACATCTGGAACACCTACTAAGAAGATCAAAGAAGAAAGTGCAAAGGCAGGCTTAATGTTGAACATAAAGATAATAAAAATAATGACCATTGAGGACCTTCACAAGTTCAACCGAGACAAGGAAGAAATAGAAATAGTAAAAGAATTTCCATACCTTGGATCAAACATTGATAGAAATGTGGAGTGCAGTCAAGAAATCAGAAGAAGACAAAGAATGGGGAGGGTGGCTATGAAAGAATTAGAAAAGATTCTAAAATGCAAAGATATACAACTCAGCACAAACGTTAGAATCATACAAGCCATCATATTTCCTATTACCTTGTATGGATGTCGAGAGCTGGACAGCTAAGAAAGACAATAGCAAGAAAATCAATTCCTGTGAGATGTGGTACTTTGGACACATCATGAGAAGGGAGGAATCTTTGGAAAATACAATAATGTTGGGAAATGGGGAGGGACGTAGGTAGAGAGGAAGGCCACATGCCAGATGGATGGACTCTATTAAGGAGGTCACAGGTATAAAGGGGTTGCAGGATTTAAGCAGAGCAGTGGAGCACAGAGGGTCTTGGAGATGTCTCATCCATAGGGCCACCATGAGTTGAGATCGACTCAAGGGCAGTTAACAACAAAGTAAAAAAATGACTTGGAGGTTCACAATAACAACAATTTATTTTGCCCTTAATGGGAAAAAAGAACGAAAAAGAATAAAAGAAAAACTCATTGTCAAAAAAAAAAACCAACCTGTGTTATTAGTGGCTTGTAACTTCTAGGCTCCATAAAGGAGGGAGAGACTGACATCTAGAGCAAGGCTGGGAGCCAAACAAGCAACACTGGAGTCTGACGGTTGTCTGGGCAATGAGCCAGGCCTGACCTGGAAACGTTTATTGCTTAGCCAAGTTAGAAGGAGGATCAACAGGCTGCCTGGGGGGAATGGAGCCAGGCTGGGCTCAGGCGGGATAATATAGTCCCATTCCTCCTTTACCCTGCAGTAGGTTATCTCAGGAGGCACCAGTGTTCACACCAGGCGGCTTGTAAATCACTTTCCGGCTGATGCTGACAAAGAGTAAATTTGGCCCCCACGGAATGCCCTGGTTAAGTTAAGCTTTTCCTGCACATCTTTTTGCAAACACATTCTGCAAAGTGATTTGATTATGTTGTTGTTGTTGTTGTTGTTGTTGTTGTTGTGTGCCTTCAAGTCATTTCAAACTTACAGTAACCCTAAGGCAAACCTATCAAGAGGGTTTCCTGACATATTTCTTCAGAGGGGATTTGCCATTGCACTTCTCTGAGGTTGAGATAGTATGACCTGACTAATGTCACCCAGTGAGTTTACATGGCCGAGCCAGAATTCAAACCCTGGTCTCCAGAGTCCTAGTCCAGCGCTCACACCAGTACACCATACTGGCTCAATTATTTTGTTATACAATACCATCTGGGGAGAAAGGCAGGGTGTAAATTCAATAAATAATAAAATAGAATAAAGAACAAATCCTGTTCTTCCTAAAGTGCTGTTTGCCATTTATATATACAGTTGGCACTTGGTACCTGCTGGGGTTTGGTTCCAGGACTCCCCATGGATGCCAAAATCTGTGGATGCTTAAGTCCCATTATATGAAGTGCGAGAGTAAAATGGTGTCCCTTCTCTCTCTCTGGCTTTTCTTCGCAAA